GGAATGCAAGTTGGCAGCTTGGAGAGCAGCATCTGGCTGGTAAGTCTGTTGGGGGGAAGTAACATGGGGGAGAGAAGGAGTGGAGTGGGGCAGATCGAGGATCCCATGGTGAGGGAGGGAGAGAGTGCAGCAGGGGCAGGTACTGTCCAGGTAGAGTGGTGAATGAGACCCCAGGAGTGGGATGGAGCCACAGGCGGTTTGTCTGGGAGGCATGGGAGGGTGGGGAAGGGAGCAGTGGGAACATTAGGAGGGGTGTCTAGGGGGTGGGCTATAGCCACCCAAAAATTCCCCATAGCCACCCTTCCCAGTGCTGCCACTGCCCGTCCTGCCCCCTCTTACCCCAAGTGGAGCCCTGGCCCAGCCTCCCAGGCAGGAAAAGGTTGGTGCAATCCCGGGCCCTGAGCCTGCAGTGGGCAGCCTTTCCTCATTCCGCGCACAAATCCGGGGAGGCACATGCCCCCCATTTCTCCCCCAGGGGTGCTTGCAGCAGATCAAGGGAAGTGACTCTTCTCTATTTAGCACTGGTGAGGCCACATCTGGAGTACTGGGTCCAGTTCTGAGTCTCCCACTGCAGCAGGGATGTGGACAAATTGGAGAGAGTCCAGCGAAGGGGAATGAAAATAGTTCGGGGGCTGGGCACACGACTTGTGAGGAGAGGCTGAGGGAACTGGGCTTACTTAGTCAGCAGAAGAGAAGACTTAGAGGGGGTTTAATAGCAGCCTTCAACTACCTGAAGGGTGGTTCCAGAGAGGATGTAGCTAGCTTGTTCTCGGTGGTGGCAGATAACAGAACAGGGAGCAATGGTCTCAAGTTGCAGGAAGGGAAATTTAGGTTAGATATTAGGAGGAACTTTCTCACTAGAAGGGTAGTAAAACACTGGAACAGGTTACCAGGGAGGCTGTGGAATCTCCACCCTTGGAGGATTTTAAGACCCAGCTTGGCTTGGATGATTTAGTTGGTCTTGCTTTGAGCAGGGGTTAGATTAGATCATTAGTCTCCAACCTTCTTATGGTGAAGATCACTTTTTGGAACTGAAGGCCATTCCAGGATCTACTGTGCCCCCCACTCCACCTGCCCACCCCCACCCCACTCCCTTCCCTGCCCCCTGCTCCCATTTCTGTGCCATGGCTGCACTGAGCCGTGCCCACCCAGCAGCCAGAAGAATGTGGTGTTGGGCCCCGGCCCAGCTGGGTCTTGAAGTCTCTGTGATCCAGGGGCATGTGGGAGGCTCCTGCTGCTGGGCACATCCTAGTGGAGGCCCCCAGGGGCCTGTGCCCCCCACCCCCCCAACCTGTGCTTGGGACGAGGTGGCTGCTGCTGCAGGCTGACCATTGTGCCCTGAGCACAGGTGGGGGGCATAAGCCCCCTGTGCCTCCACTGGGCTGTGCCCAGTGGCAGGACCCCCCACCCACATGCCCCTGGACAACCAGATCTTCCTGGACCTGGTTGGGCTAGGGCCGTCCCCACGTGAGTCCCCACTGCTGAACTGAGCCATGCCCACATGTGGGCAGCTGCAGCGGGACTTGAGGCACAGTGGCAGCAGCCTCTGCTGCCTCTGCTCCTGTAGAGATGGGGAGAGAGCCCCCCCACACCCCTAAACAAGCCCCCCCCCCGAGCTCCAATCGTCCTACCACTTGGCCGGGCTGGGGTCCCACTTACCTTCCCCTGCTCCTGGCTGGGCCACACGGTCAGCTGCTCACCACGGGGGCCTTAATCTGGCCCCCGCCGCTTCCCCACAGATTGATCTGCTGGGGCTGGGGTAGCAGGTGTGCACATGATGCATGCCCAGATGCCCCCCCAGTCTAGGATCTACCAAAAGAGGCTTCGGGATCTACCTGTAGATCAGGATCTTTGGGTCGGTGACCACTGGATTAGCTTACCTCCTGATGTCCCTTCCAACCCTCATTTTTATATTTCTATGATTCTATGATAGTTCAGAATAAATCTACAACTTCAGAATGACTACACTGAGACTAAAAACACTAGTACGTAGGTTGACTAGATTTCATAGGACTAGAATTTATACATACAAGAAGAGTAGAATGATTTCAAAACAAAAGTAGACATACTTGCTGGTGCTTTAATCCAAAGCAAAGGGTAAAAATCACAGGCTACATGCTAATTTCCTAGGGAAGAGAAGCCTGTCTTGAATACTAATTGGGCAGAGAGATAAATCACACCTGCATATTATGTATCAGTGTATTGAAATGTCACTCAGACAGGATGCAGGGAATCTGCAAAGTTTACCTACAGCTTACACTATTTGCTGCTAAGCACTGTGTTCAGAATAGCTGAGTAAGAAACAAAGATTCCTGGATTTCTCACTCTTCCTCTCCAGCTTCTGCTCTCAGTGCAGCATCTCAGGGGAGACAGCAAAGAGCAAAAGAGTCAGTGAGAAGGAGGAAGCAGTAAACACTGGCTGAGCCATCTGCTTCGTGACAGCCCATTCCCTCATTCACCATGGACTGCAGATGCCCATAGGGCACAAAACGACTTACATGCCTCAAGGCCTGCACCATCAGAACAACATCAAGCAGCTCAACCCATCGATTGTTCTAGCTCTCTCAGTTGCACCAGAAAATGGAAGTGAGGGGAATGACTGAGGTCTTGGAAAGCTGGTGAAATGTGTTAGAGAGACTAGAAAGCAATCCAAAGGAGGACTTTTTGATCCCTAGTATTAGGCACTGCAGTTCCTAGTTGTGTTGCCCCTTGGTTACCTTGTCCCTGTTACATACTTAGGTGGTCTATAACAATGAATGAGGAATTTGGCACCTATGAAAGGTGTTCCAAAAGCCCACACACTAAACAGGTTGCTGCCTAGAGCTGGCCAGCAGGAAACACTAATCACAGGGTTGCATCTGAACTCCCAGCCCTTTTCTGGATCTTAGGTGTGTGAACCAGGATCTCAGGTGTGTGAATCAGGACTGTAGGGAAGGCTCACTTGGGATCCAGCACTCTGAAGATAGGAACTCACAAGTGTTCTTTGAAAAGAATGATTAGGATTCTTGTTTGACATATAGAGTTGGTCTGAATTAGCAAAAGCTCACTTCTTCACACACACATCTACTTTAATAGCTATGGGCCTTGTTGCACATTGTACTTTGAGCCACACAAATGATGGTCAGCTTCATGGTAGCTTGGTGTGGAGCAGTCACACCTTTAGTCTAGAAACCCTCTGACTTTCCTCTACCAGCACCGCTGGGACTTGCCACTAGAGGCCTGGTGAGCAGGGAGGTTCCAACCAACCCTACTTCTCTATGATTCGGTATACTTCTAAAGCTGCAGCTTGCTCCTTACCTCTCCTGCTAGGCCAAGAGCTCCAGCCCCACAGCTCCAGCCCTGCTTGTTGCACCTGATTCACATGCAGCGTGGCTGCTGTGGGGTGGGGGACAGCCTGTTGCCAGGGGAGCCACTGCTTCAGGGTGGGGTGGTTATGGGTGGATCTGGGCCATGGGCACCGAACAGTACTAGGAGATGTCGGTGGAAAGTTTCAAGGTTGTCTTGCTTCTGTCAGCTAGCATGAATCTGCATGGGTGACTGGTGCCTCCTGAGACTGGGGGGACACAGTTTGTGGGCGGCAGTGTTGGCGGTGTCAGTGGTTGGGTGGTGAGCGGCGACTGCCTGCAGAAGCTGGCGATGGTGTTGGCTGTGTTGGAGGTGGGGGGGTGGCAAGCGGTGACCGCCCACAGAAGCTGACAGTGACAGCGGCAGGGTGGCGAGTGACGATTGCCCACAGAAACCGGTGGTGGCCAACCTCAGGGGGGACACATGTCCCCCTGTGCCCCCCCTACCAGTCGCTTATGCTTGTAGCCTT